AGTAGTGTATATATTTTGACATCTTTTTATGTACCTTTTTACAGCATCAATTTTATATGTGTAGGGGAGCAAAGTTAATAATATATAGCACTATCTGCCAACCTGTGATCCTCATCTCGAATAAGGCCATGCCTTTTAGTTTCTTTCTTTATTCCAACTACTTGACTTTATATACAGTTCTTCCTCTACTGTATAGTTGAAGGCTAACAACCCAACACAAACAAATATCACTGCTCCGATACATACAAGCATATATATATGTCTGTCAGTTAATCAAAGTGTACTAAATCACATTATTGGTTTTGTACTCTTCGCAAGTTTATTTAAGAGTTCTTTTTAATACAAGCGATATTGGAGAGAGGGTTTTCACACAAGACTATGGGTCTGCAAACCCTTCCACGCATCTGCAAATAGAGTGGTTAATATATATCTTTTTCTTTTTTCTCCATCCATGTCTTACAACTAATATTTACATACGGAAGCTAGCGAACCCAATTTAATTTTCCACGGCTGTGATTAATTGGTGGAACGGTGCAAAATTAATTAATTTACTGCGCTTAAAGGTAACAAATTAATTAGGGTTTTTAATTGTATAGGTCTTTAAACTTTACCTCTTAATTTGTCACCCTATTTATGTTCCTCGTGTGTGTATATATGTGGACATAATTAATTGGGTTTTTAATTATATAGGTTCCTGAATTGATTTTTTTTTTTTTTTTGGCAATTACATTCTTTAACTCGACATGTAGTTGCAATACCCGTCAATCTGACTGTTAATATAATAATTATAATTAAATTAAAATATTATAAAAAGTAGAAAATTAAAAATTAAAAAATCTCTCACCTCCCAAACCCTCAAAATTATAGAAGCCGATGATGTTCCTTCTTCTTTTATCCTTAGCTGCTCCTCTTGCTGTTGATCTCCATCCTCAGTGGCTTTTGCTTTTTTGGACTAACCTTCGTTACTTTTTTTTGGCTTTTACTTTCTCTAAGGAAAAAGAAAACCCACACCGCCCAAAAAAAATCCAATCTTGAATAATCCCTGTGCCTCTCTCTCTCTCTCTCTCTCAATGAGCAACTAAACTTGTATATTTGACCTGCACCTAGATTCTGGAAGTCCCATTAAAATAATCTCTTTCAGTCATATCCAAGACCCAGTAAAAATCGACCTCCCCTATACAACAAAAGTATTCATGTTATGTGTATTTTTTATGGCGAAGAAAAAACACAGGTGGAACTGTGTGTGGAAGAAGGCTTCCACAGATCTGGAAGCATGTAGAGTAAATGAAAATAGACAGATAAAGGTAATAAAAAAAGGGTCTGCAGTATGAAAAATCAACTAAAGACAGATGGAAATGAGGTTTGTGTTGTCAAAAGTCTGAATTATCCTTCTAATAAATGACTAAATTTAAATAAATAAAAATATTTGTCGAGTTAAGTGATGTAATTGTCAAAAAAAAATATTCAATTCAGGAACCTATATATTTAAAAACCCAATTAACTTTGTCCACATATATACACACGAGGAACATAAATAAGGTGACAAATTCAGGTAAACATATATAAACATATGAGGTGGTGCCCTCCAGCAGTAGGGTAGCTGCTGGCCCACTAAGCCCACCCAGCTACTTCCTCCTACTTAGTATCATCCTATATATACATTTTGATGTCCGCCAAAGTTTAAAGATAGGTAGGTCATGAAAGTTGAAATGATCACATCTATTATGTTAGCAGTGGTCCAGTCCAAGCATACGTATTTATAATGCTACTAAATTAATGCATGTGGATCCCAAATGGATGAAAAAGTGTACCATCATTATGAATAAGTCTATGGTAAGAAATTAAAGTGAGCAGCACCTGTAGGGAACAAGAATATATATATCATGTACAAAATATGCAAGATCAATCTTATTCCTCGTTCATGAAGTAAAGGGTAGCAATTTTCCAACTCTCGTTTTATTCGTTTGCACTTTTTTGTCTCGTTTTATTCCTTTCTGTCCGTTCAACGGAAATGTGAAAATTGTATGCCTTTTTTATAAAACACACATTTTTTTCTTTCCGTTCAACGAAAATGTGAAAATTGTATACCCTTTTCATAAAACACACATCTTTTTCTTGAGGTAGAAAGGGAAACTCAATTTGATATTTGTGTGGGTCTGCAGAGTTGCAGTATTAATGGACTTTGGTGGTCACCTGAAAATTGAACTTAATTCAATTCTATGACTACTATGTGCAATGAGAGCATGATCTACATGCAGGGAATTTTGAAAAAGTGGGTTGGGTGGGGCATGTAATATTTGGTTGGTTTCTGTCTCATGGTAAAGATATACCACCAAATTTTCTTTCAGCCTTTGACAGTACATAATATAAGAATAAATAAAGAATGTGTATAGTTTGTATCAAACTCCATTGTCATCTTAAGTTCCTTTTCAACTAGAAAAAGTAAACTAGAAACCGTCACAGGATTAATTCCGACATCCACCAACCAAAGTGCCTAACTTTTGGTTTTCTTCTCACTAATTGTTAAGTTTCTTTTTTTTTGCGAATTTTTTTTTGGATGCAGTTAATATATAAGGAACTCTAGAGATATTGGACCTAATCATTAATTTTTTTTATTATAAAAGAGATAAGTTTAGGAGAATGAGAAGCTACCTCATCCCAAGGCCGGGCATACCTTCTAATTATTTAATGGGAGTTTCACTAAAACACCCAAAATGGGGGTTGAAATTATAAAAAAACCCAAGCACTATTTAAACATATAAACACACCCAAAAAGTTGACTTTATGGTTGATTTTGGGTGTGTTTCTATATTTAAATAGTGTTTGGGTTTTTTTATAAATACATGTCTATGATTGGGTTTATTTATAAATTTGTATTATTTAATTTGAGGTATTTGATGATATTGCGAAGCTTGTTTTGGATGCAATTAAGGATGCCAATGAAATATATGTAGAGATTGGGTCTTTTTAGAATTGAAGGAGTGATTAATTTGGTGGTGTGGCAAATTGAGTGTTTTTGGTGGGGTATGGGTGTGTGAGGCAGAATTATTATAAAGTTGAATAAGACTACGTGGAGGGATAATTTGGGGCTTAAATCATTGGGTTTAAATTCCGCACAAGAGAACAAAATATGTCAACACGTGTGAAATATTTTGCCTACTTGCAAGTAAAAAATATATAGAATGAAGTGAATCTCCTATTTTCTTCAATATGAGAGTAGTTATCTATATGCCAACGGTATCTGGTCCAGTAAAAAAGGATCTTAATTGGCATACAAGAGACCGCTGGTTTTAAACTCCCACGACACATTAGTAATGTGTACGTGAGAAATCTCCTTGTATTCAACAAAACAAAACAAAAAAGCAGTAATCCATATAGCTGATGTCATGTGTTCAAATTCCTCCTCAATTTCCCTGAAGGAAAAAAGAAACATATATCAAGATTTTTGAACCCCCATGACTTTCAGGTGAACTTCCTCTTTTAGGTCAAGTGCCAAACATTTGGCCAAGAAACTTGGATTTCAAGACTTGGAACCATGTCCCTGTAGACAAAGATTTTGGGCCAATCTAGAGCGTATACATGCCGCCCAATTAAAGAGAGATATATGATGAAAGGCCGACTTGTTACCATATATGATGCAGTTATCCATGGGCCTCAAAAATTGTATATGCTCTATATATCTTTTAGGTGTCCAAAACTTAATGATCCAAAATAAAAATTAGTGCTAATTCTTTGAAATTCCAGGGATTAAAGGTTAAAAATTCATTAGTTTTCTTAGGTGCCATGTTTTTCTTGTTTTGTTGGCCTTTTGCGGGTGCCTAATGAGGCTTTATTGACCAAAAAGAAAAAGAAAAAGGGCATGTATAACCTTTTATGTATTTAATTTAAGCTAAGGTGTGATCAAAGATATGTATTATGAATTGCATGATTTAACTATAATTTTATCTTTGTAGATTTGCATTGTATCATCCTCTGTGCAATAAGTTTCGGAAAGCAAAGCTAGATTAATCAAAACTCTGCAACATTTATAGAATTTTTTTTCTTGTTAAATATTGTTTGTATACAAAGGAGACGAGCCTCATTTTAATTTATGCCCTCAAGCCATACAAAAGTCAGAGTCGACTCTGATATGATGTGACTTCGAATGAAGTATAAATTTTAATTTTTGCCATTAAACATTTGATATCGATGTGTGGCATGAAGCATGATAATGACTAGTATATTAAAAAAAGTAAAGTTTAACATAAACAGTTTATTTTGATTTAGGCAGTTCCAAAATAGGCCAATCAAAATCCAACAAAATTAATTGCGTGTTGATTCGAATTGGTAAAAGGACACACTTTATATTCTTATTATTATTTTAATTATAACTAGTTAGGAAATTAATTAATTTGACCAAAAAAAAAAAAAAAAGAAGCAAGAAATTAATTAAAATTAAGCTAATGTTTTAGTTGAATTCATATTTATTATAGAATAAATAAATAAATAAATAAAATAAACATGGAATCATAATAATGCCATAAAGATAGTGTAGATATTCCGGGATAACACTAGCATCCACTGCACAGAGAGCCTAGTCACGACCAGTCTGATTTGGGGTCCCACGACACAAAAAATCTGATGGGATAAAAATATTCAACCTGATCTAGGCAAATTATTCCCAGCTCCCCCACTATCTAAAACATACATCCGATCCGACGGTCAGGAAGTCCCATCGCCTTTGACTTTCTGAAGAAACAGTGCGGGGGCTTTAGCTTTACCCCCCTTGTCCGGTCCTCAATCTCCGGGTGGATTCCACAGACCACTGGACTTGGCGAGTGGTAAGTACAAAGTAGTGGAAAGTGTTGTCCAACTCGCCAACGAATCAGAACAACGTTGAATGTCCACGTGGCAAGTCACAATGAAAAGAGGAGGAGGAGGGGCAAAAAGGGAATATTAATTAGAGAGTAGAAAGAGGGCATAAAGGGAATTTCGAAAAGCATGAAAAGGGAAACCGTGTGTCTGTTGTCTCTGTTTCTTTGGCTTTGGCTACTGTCCTCTCTCTCTCTCTCTCCTCTCTGCTCCACTTCTCTCTCTAAATCTGAAAGCAGAGCAAAGAATCGAGAGCGAGAGAGCATGGAGCGAGCGTGAGGGTTTATGGTCTCCGGTCAAAGAAGGAAGAAGAGAGATAGAGAGAGCATAATAGGCGTAGATAGACCGTGGAATCTCAGAAAGAAGGAAAAAAGAATCCCAAAATCCAAAAAAAAAAAAAAAAATCGAAAACGAGAACAAAAATTGGTCATGGTCTTAATTAGGGTTCCTTTTAAAACAAACCCACTTCTTCATCATTCATTCTGCGTCTCCGTACGGTCTATCCACTCCTCTCTTACTCTCCCTCTCTCTCTCTAACACTTTTTATCTTTCAATTTCAATTTCAATTTAATTGTTGTTGTTATTGCTAATGGGATTGAGCTTTTCATAGATTTATATACAATTTTACTATATAGATTGCTATACTTATAGATACTGATTATAGTCTGATAGATATAGCTTTAGTAGATAGTAGAGCTGTGAGCTTAGAATGGAGGAGGAGGCTAGGGTTTCAGGGAACACTGGGACTGGGAATGGCTCGGAGGCCATTCGAGATTCCTCCTACTGGCTCGATGCTTGTGAGGACATATCATGTGATGTAATTGGTGATTTGGTTGATTTCTGCGACGCTCCAATTGGTGGCCCTCCAGTGTTGGCTAACGGCAATGGCTGCAGCCAGGAGGAGGATGGTCTGGTGAGCGATTTTTTCGGGGGAATTGATCACATTCTTGACAGTATCAAGAGCGGAGCTGGCCTCCCCGGCGTGATTGATCCGAATTCGAATGCCAATGCCAATGGTGTTATTGGCAATGCTGCTGTGGAGGGTTGCTTTCAGAGGGAGGCATCCGGGGTTTCAAAGACGGTGGAAGTTAATGGCTCGGTTGGGCTCAATGGTGAAACCGGTGGGAGGAATTTGGATATTGCTAATGGAGACACTAAGGGTGATCGAAATGGTTATCATAAGTATGAGAAGGGTAGGGGCAATGGGGTTGTGAGGAGGAGAGAGATGAATGGTGAAGATAGATGTCCCAAGAGGGTTGCTTTGGATAATGGCAGGAATGAGAGGTATTTTGCTTCAGGCAGAATGCAACATCACATGAGGGAGAATAGTTATAGTAGGAAGAGGCCTCGTGATTCAGAGGATATTGATTGGAGGGATAGAGATAGAGATAGGGATAGAGATCGGACTAGGAGAAGAGAGACTTATGGTAGCAATAATAGGAGGGAAGGTGGTAGAGATAGGGAGGCGAAGGGTTATTGGGAGAGGGATAAGTTGGGAACGAATGATATTGTTTTTCGAATAGGGCCTTACGAACCTGATCATAACAAAGAAGGGAAGATTACTGATGTCAAAAACCAGGAATGCAATGGGAAGGCTGAGAAGAAACCCGAAGAGGTTAAAGAAAAAATTCCTGAGGAGAGAGCCAGGCAGTATCAATTGGATGTTCTTGAACAGGCAAAGAAGAGAAATACAATAGCTTTTCTTGAAACAGGGGCGGGAAAGACACTCATTGCCGTTCTCCTCATCCAAAGTATTTGCAATGATATGCAAAAGCAGAACAAGAAGATGCTCTCTGTATTTTTAGTTCCTAAAGTTCCCCTTGTTTATCAGGTAATGCATGTGTAAGTTTAAAGACTTGTTTTCTGTTTATGTGTGTTACTTTCTTTGGTGCAATTTGCACATTTTGAGTTTATGCATTTTTTTTTCCTTCTTGTTCAATTTCAGCAAGCAGAAGCTATTCGTGAGCGAACTGGTTATGAAGTGGGCCATTATTGTGGTGAGATGGGTCAAGATTTCTGGGACACCCGAAGATGGCAGCGTGAGTTCGACACAAAACAGGTAGGTCTTACAGTTTTTGTTATTAGACCATGTAGTTTTCTACTCTTCTCATGTTCTGAACACTTTCACTTCTAATGCCTTTTTTGGGTATCATCTGTTGCTTAGGATAGTTCCTGCTCGGGCCTTGATTCTTGTTTACTATTTGATATTTTTCCCCCCAGGTTCTGGTGATGACAGCCCAAATTCTGTTGAACATTCTGAGGCACAGCATTATAAAAATGGAATCAATCAATCTCTTGATTCTGGATGAGTGTCATCACGCTGTGAAGAAACATCCATATTCTTTAGTGATGTCTGAGTTCTATCACACAACCCCAAAGGAGAAGAGACCGTCTGTATTTGGAATGACTGCTTCTCCTGTTAACTTAAAGGGTATTTTTCTTTTGTCAAGTTATGACATTACTCAAGATCGTGCATCTTAAATTCAACTCTAATTTTTTTCATGGCAATGTTTTAAATCACAATATATTGATGCTTCTTATGACTATGTTTGATTCAGGTGTTTCCAGCCAAGTAGATTGTGCAATAAAGATTCGTAATCTCGAAAGTAAACTAGATTCCATCGTTTGTACCATAAAAGACCGTAAGGAGCTTGAAAAGCATGTTCCAACGCCCTCCGAAATTGTGGTGCAGTATGACAAAGCAGCCAGCTTATGGTCCCTTCATGAGCAGCTAAAACAAATGGAAGGGGAAGTTGAAGAAGCTGCAAAGTCTAGTTCTAGAAAAAGTAAATGGCAGTTTATGGGAGCTAGAGATGCTGGGGCTAAGGAAGAGCTGCGCCAAGTTTATGGTGTTTCCGAAAGAACAGAAAGTGATGGGGCTGTGAACTTAATTCAAAAGTTGAGGGCTATCAATTATGCACTTGGTGAACTGGGTCAGTGGTGTGCTTACAAGGTACCAATTATTAATATATGTGTCAAGATTAGCTATTTAATCCTTTGTGAAACTGTTGCTCAGTCTGTTATTTTCTCAGGTTGCACAATCTTTCTTGACAGCTCTGCAAAATGATGAGAGGGCAAACTACCAGCTTGATGTCAAGTTTCAGGAATCCTACCTGAGTAAAGTTGTATCTCTCTTACAATGTCATCTATCGGAGGGAGCTGTTTCTGACAAGGAAGCAAAAGTAGCAGATTCTGGAAGTGCTGTTTCTTGCGATGAAAATGACCCTGATGAAATGGAAGAAGGAGAGCTACCTGATAGCCATGGTTAGTCGGGCTGTTAACTTTTGTTAACTGTTCAGTATTAAGTTTTAAGAAATTAGATTTCTCGAGCTGCCAAAAAAATCATGCTGGTCCTCTTTTGGGAGTTATTCATGACTTATGACAAGTGGAAAGTTAAGGAAATTTGTTTTCAAGCTATTAATAGAAGAAATAAAGTCATTGGTTAAAGTTAGACTACAGAATGTCAAATTATGGAAAATAATTTCTGTATGCCTGAAATTTAGAACGTATCCTGGACTGTTTTGGTGGAGGAGAGTTTTCTATCATCATTCTGCACATGAAATGCCCCATATCATTGAAGATCATGCATAAATAATTCTTATTTACCATGTAAAGCATTCAAGGGAAAATTACTTGAGCTGGATGAGCCTTCAATATGTTCCAGGGTTACGCAACTGGACCACAAACACGCTACACATTTGCTGTGCCTATTTTTTGTCGACCATGCTCTTGATCATTAATGAGTTCATTTGATTGGCATTTCTTCTAAAGTTGCCTACTTGGTGTGGTGTAGTTGTCTCTGGTGGGGAGCATGTAGATGTGGTAATAGGTGCTGCTGTAGCTGATGGGAAGGTGACTCCAAAAGTGCAGTCACTGATTAAAGTACTTCTCAAGTATCAGCATACAGAAGATTTTCGTGCAATCATCTTTGTGGAGCGAGTTGTATCTGCTTTAGTCCTTCCTAAGGTTGTATTTGTAATAGATTTTGTTCTTTTATTTTATTTTATTTTTAAAAATAGAGTTCATAAACATTGTTTCTCTGTCTTTATTGAATATTTTCAAGTTCCTCACCCTATAGTGTTTCCAAGCATGCAGGTATTCGCAGAACTTCCTTCTTTAGGTTTTATTGAGTGTGCAAGCTTGATCGGGCACAACAATAGCCAGGAAATGCGAAGTTGCCAAATGCAGGATACTATTGCCAAATTCCGGGATGGTCGTGTATGTATAAACGCCATGCACTACACTTTTGGACTAAATTGAATGGAAGGCAAAACTTTCATGGTTAGATGTTCTCTAATATAAGAATTTCTTCTATGTAGGTCACATTATTAGTTGCCACTAGTGTTGCTGAGGAAGGACTTGATATTCGGCAGTGCAATGTTGTTATTCGCTTCGACCTTGCAAAAACTGTTTTGGCTTACATTCAGTCTAGGGGTCGTGCTAGAAAACCTGGGTCAGATTACATCTTGATGGTGGAGAGGTACTTAGTTGCTTGGTATCTATATCAACATTTATATCAGTCATGATGATCTGTTTATGATGTTTCACATAAAATTGCTCATATTACTTGAACCTAATTTTTTTAAATGTGTGGGGTAAATTTGTCACTATACTTTAATCTTTTCATTATCTTTCATATGATATCAGATTACAAACTCTCTTTTCTTTTTTGGGTTCCTTGTAGGGGAAATCTGTCGCATGAAGCATTCTTAAGGAATGCCAGGAATAGTGAGGAGACTTTACGGAAAGAAGCAATAGAGAGAACTGACCTGAGTCATCTGAAGGATACTTCTAGGTTAATTTCAGTGGACACAACACCAGGTACAGTGTACCAGGTCGAGTCAACTGGTGCTGTTGTAAGCTTAAATTCTGCTGTTGGGCTCATCCATTTCTACTGCTCTCAGCTTCCCAGTGACAGGTTCTTCTTTCGTCAGAGTAATGTTTATGCTGGAACATCCAAGAATTGTAGCTGCATATTACTGATTTTTCCTTAAATCTGTTATTCAGGTATTCAATTCTTCGTCCTGAGTTTGTCATGGTGAGGCATGAGAAGCTAGGAGGTCCCACAGAATATTCATGCAAACTTCAACTCCCTTGTAATGCACCATTTGAGACACTTGAGGGTCCCGTGTGTAGTTCAATGCACCTTGCACAACAGGCATGCTTTTGTTCTTCTACGATCACGATACCTTTGCTTCACATCATCCAAGGATGTTGATTTATATTTTCCTTATCATGCAGGCTGTTTGTTTGGCTGCTTGCAAGAAACTCCATGAAATGGGAGCATTTACCGACATGCTCTTGCCAGACAAGGGAAGTGGGGAAGAAAAAGAACAGGTTGACCAGACTGATGAAGGAGATCCACTTCCTGGGACTGCTAGGCACAGAGAGTTCTATCCTGAAGGCATAGCTAATATTCTACAGGTTCGTTCATTCCGTATGCCATATGCTTTAGATTATCTTTGCTGATATTTGGGTAGGCCAAGCAATAATTTTTTTTAAATGTTTTAATTTCTTAAGGTTTTTACAACAATTCTTAAAAATTCTCTTCCTTCTTGTTGGGTTCATATTAATATATGTGTTCTGAAAAAGCAATCTAAAGCTTGGGACTATGCACTAATTGATTCGAAATATAAACCTCAAACCTGTAAAATGATCTGATTTGGAAGATATTCTTACTATACTAGACACTTAATTCTGTCTCTCTAGTAAAAAGCTAAGTATGGCAGTATCTGTGTTTAATACTTGCTGATTCTTGGTTGGAGGTTCCTCGTTCTTACGCAGATGTGTTACATAATTCATAATTTTACTCTCTGGCATTTCAGGGAGAATGGATCTTATCCAGAAGAGATTTGGGCAGTGACTCCAAATTGGTTCATGTTTACATGTATGGTGTGAAATGTGTAGACGTTGGCTCTTCAAAAGATCCATTCTTGACTCAAGTTTCGGATTTTGCAGTTCTAGTAGGCAAAGAACTGGATGCAGAGGTACCTTATTTCCATTTGTACCATAAGCGTGATGATATTAATTTCTCCGTCCCCTTTCTTTGTTTACTTATTTTCTGTTAATAGGTGTTATCGATGTATATGGATCTATTTATCGCTCGAACCATGACTACAAAGGTGTCCCTTGTCTTCAAGGGTTCAATAGATATTACTGAAAGTCAGGTTAGTAATCTATTACCATTCTGGAGTGTATTTATTTTATAAATGGTTTACTGTTAGACTTAGAGTTACTGATGTTTAAACAAAACTTCAATTTTTGTGTACAGTTGGCATCCCTTAAAAGTTTTCATGTGAGATTGATGAGTATTGTACTGGATGTGGATGTTGAACCTTCCACCACTCCTTGGGATCCTGCAAAGGCTTATTTGTTTGTTCCTGTGGTCGGTGATAAATTTGTAGATCCTATGAAAGAAATTGATTGGGATCTGGTTGAAAATATAAATGGTGCAGATGCTTGGAACAATCCCCTTCAAAGAGCTCGACCAGATGTTTACCTTGGCACAAATGAGCGTACACTAGGTGGAGACAGAAGGGAGTATGGTTTTGGGAAATTGCGTAATGGCATGGCTTTTGGGCAAAAATCCCATCCAACCTATGGTATCAGAGGTGCTGTGGCACGGTTTGATGTTGTTAAAGCTTCTGGATTGGTACCGGATCGGGATGCCCTTGAAATGAGAAAGCATATGGATTTGCCCAAAGGCAAGTTAATTATGGCAGATACTTGTAGCAGTGTCAAAGACTTGGTAGGGAGGATTGTGACAGCTGCTCACTCAGGAAAGAGGTTTTATGTGGATTCAATATGCTATGATATGACTGCATATGCTGATTATTACAAGCAAAAGTATGATACTCATTGCCATTCTAATTTGTCTGATGTTATTAGTTACTTTATCATGCCTTTCTAGATTTATTCTTCTAAGCCTAGAAGTTGGTTGATTCCTAATTGATAGCTACAATGCGCCCTAGCTTACGTGCTTGAAGAGGAGGAAAGCTAAGGTTGTGTTTGGTTCATGAAAGCATTCAATTTTCAGTTCCCATTTTCACTAAAAACTGAAAATCAGTATTTAAAAAACTTGTTTTCTTGTGTGAAAATGAAAACTGTATCCTAAAAACGAGGAGTAAGCCATTTTTGGGAAACTCTCAAAAGAATTTGAGAATTCTAGTATGGTTGGAAACATGCAGTTTCAGATAAAGACAGTCCCTTTAGTGTTCTTTAGTTTTCTTTTTTACCAACCAAACTTGTTTTAACAAATTTTATAGAAGTTTATGACAACATTTTTCTTTTTCACTTCTCTGGGTACTGAAAAAGGTTTTCATTTTCATGAACCAAACACCACCTAATCGTAATCTGGAAGGAAGTTTATTATTGTCAGGTGGAAAATTTGTGGGTTCATTAAAGAAATGTTCCAATAAATTTTCCAGTTACAATAGTTGTAAACCCTTACAGATTGGAAAAGCTTTCTTCTTTCTTCTTGCACAATAAAGGGTGCATTTGGCTATTATATCTTCTTTATATAGGTATGGAGTTGAGTTGGTTTATAAACAACAACCTCTAATAAGAGGACGTGGTGTCTCATATTGTAAGAATCTCCTGTCTCCTCGATTTGAACACATGGAAGGTACATGCTACTCTTTACCATTAAATTAGTACCTGTTTCACCTCTTTTTTTTTTTTTTTTTTTTTTTTTTTTTCTCTCTCTTCTTTGAACTGATGAAGCTTTTATGTAGAACACGATGGTGAATCAGAAGAGACTCTTGACAAAACGTACTATGTATTCCTCCCTCCTGAGCTGTGTTTAGTACACCCACTGCCCGGATCACTTGTCCGTGGAGCCCAGAGATTGCCCTCGATAATGAGAAGGGTTGAAAGCATGCTGCTTGCAGTTGAACTTAAAGATATAATAAATTATCCTATCCCTGCTTCAAAGGTATTTTATCATCTCTGGTTATTTATTTTAAACGGCCATTAACTACTTGACTGATGTGTGCTGCCTATCTACAGATCTTGGAAGCCTTGACAGCAGCTTCATGCCAGGAGACGTTTTGCTATGAAAGAGCAGAGCTTCTTGGTGATGCTTACCTGAAATGGGTTGTTAGTCGATTTCTCTTTCTCAAATACCCTCAGAAACATGAGGGTCAGCTTACTAGGATGAGGCAACAAATGGTGAGTAACATGGTTTTATATCAGTATGCATTGAAGAAAGGACTTCAATCATATATCCAAGCAGATCGCTTTTCTCCATCTCGGTGGGCTGCTCCTGGGGTCTTGCCTGTCTTTGATGAGTATACGAAGGATGAAGAATCATCCTTGTTTGATCACGAGGATGGGCCTGTAGGTGAAATCAATCGCTCTGGTGATGCATATGAGGATGATGAGCTAGAGGATGGTGAGCTTGAGAGCGACTCAAGTTCTTATAGAGTCCTCTCTAGCAAGACACTTGCAGATGTTGTCGAAGCACTTATTGGAGTTTATTATGTAGAAGGCGGGAAAAACGCTGCTAACCATCTCATGAAATGGATTGGAATTGAGGTAGAGTTTAATCCTGATGGGGTAGAGAGCACACCGAAGTCATCTACCGTTCCAGAGAATGTACTTAGGAGTGTCAACTTTGATGCCTTAGAGGTTGCTTTGAATATCAAATTTAAAGATAGGGGCTTTTTGGTAGAAGCCATTAGTCATGCGTCCCGACCATCTGCTGGAGTGTCCTGCTATCAGCGATTGGAGTTTGTTGGCGATGCCGTCTTAGATCATCTCATTACAAGGCATTTGTTCTTCACGTACACAAATCTGCCTCCAGGCAGGTTGACTGACCTGCGAGCTGCTGCTGTTAACAATGAAAATTTTGCACGTGTTGCTGTAAAACATAAACTCCATCTGCACCTTCGGCATGGGTCAAGTGCCCTTGAAAAACAGGTTCTTCAGTTTCTTCCTCACCTTTAAAATTTTAAATTCTCGTTCTTGAATGGGGGAGCTGATAGTCTAGCATGGTTATTTTGATTTGTTATGGACTAGGCAGGTTAGCAGCAACTATGGATCCTAAATCCTAACTAGCGTTTTTGGATTGCGTTTACAGATTCATGACTTTGTGAAGGAAGTGCAAAATGAATTATCAAAGCCAGGGTTCAACTCCTTTGGTTTGGGAGATTGCAAAGCTCCAAAGGTTCTTGGGGACATTTTTGAATCTATTGCGGGTGCCATTTTTCTTGACAGCGGACGTGATACTGCAGTTGTTTGGAAGGTAGATCCCCAGTAGAGGCACATAGCTTGTTCTACATTTTATCTTTTCTATTTTCTTTGGTTATGAGTTGGGGGAACTGATACAGAGAATTTGTTCTCTTTCAATCTCTCTATATGTTTATAGGTCTTTCAACCTCTATTGCACCCAATGGTTACTCCAGAGACACTCCCAATGCATCCTGTGCGAGAGCTGCAAGAAAGATGCCAGCAACAGGCTGAAGGCTTGGAATACAAAGCCACTCGAAGTGGAAATTTGGCTACTGTCGAAGTTTTCATTGATGGCATCCAGATGGGAATTGCTCAGAATCCGCAAAAGAAGATGGCACAGAAACTGGCTGCTAGGAATGCACTTGCTGCTTTGAAAGATAAGGAAACAGCTGAAGCAAATGAGAAGGAGGAGGAGAATGGGAAGAAGAAGAAGAATGGTAGCCAAACATTTACCCGACAAACCTTAAATGACATCTGCTTGCGAAAAAATTGGCCCATGCCATTCTACCGGTAAGAAGTTCTGAACACATCTAGATAGGAGTAAAACAATTTGGTCATATTTTAACATTTTCTATCACTAGAGTCAAGTAGGTGGAATTCAACTGAATTAGTTTCCTGTTTCATCTTTAGGTGCGTGAATGAAGGTGGCCCTGCACATGCAAAGAGGTTCACGTTTGCTGTACGTGTGAATACCACCGACAGGGGACAGACAGACGAATGCGTGGGAGAGCCTATGCCCAGTGTTAAGAAGGCCAAGGACTCGGCAGCAGTTCTTCTCTTGGAACTTTTAAATAAGTTATACTCGTGATGGCATTGAAGGGTGGTGTTTGCAACTCTAGCATTGCTTTTGCCATTTTACCAGGAGCAAGCTGTAACTTCAACCTGATATGCCATATTTTCTGTATCTCAAGTGTTTAAAATGAACTCAACACATTACACGTGCAAGTCCAATCGAACAAAAGGTAGCAACTGCGAGCAGATTTTTTGTATCAACAACAATGTTTCGTATCGCTGTTAAAATGACTTTGGTATTTTATGCTTGTGATTTTGCCTATCCGGACCATGAAAGTATATGCCAACTGCTTTGAAGAATTTTAGTCCTTTTTCTTTTTCGATTTTCAGAATTTTAATCATTCAAGGGGTTTTGCACTGCTCGAGGGTGTTCAAGCACTACCTAATGAGTCTTGAAAATGCCTCAAGTGACTATATTTCTAAATCTTGAAAAAGGGAGCTAAAAAGTATTTCGTGTGAAAAAAAAAAAAAAAAAAAAAAAAATTTCTAAATTTCCTGTGAGAGAGTTGGTGTGTAAGAATTTGGATAAGACTTGGTATTTGTCACAGTGTCACATTACTCCCAAACCGCACCAAGATGGTGTAAAAACTTCAAATTGACAAATAGTACGTGCACTTTGACTAGGTAGGGACTTTTACTGCTTTTCTGTGCTATTTTATTGTCAAAATCTGCTAGGATGGATTTTGACTAGCTTTAGCTGTCGCCAGCGCAGATTGATTTTCATGAAAGTTAATTCTCCATCAAACATAGGGAATTAGGAAAGGAAATTAATTGTAACTGTTAGACAAATTCTAAATCCAAGAATATTTCAAGATGATACAGTTCTTTTTTAATAGAAAATTAAAAATAAGGGACGGGGAGGGCAAGAGCTGAACTCTTGTCATATTGGGGTAAAATGCTCAACCACGGAGCAATATATCCAAAACCCATAACGTTAAGATGGATCAACTAACTCTTAGTTTTGTGGTACTTCTCCTCCCAAAGTTGATAAAGAAAAAAGTCCATAATGGATTGGAAAATACTAGTTGTAAGATTGATATCATAATAGAATACCCAATTTAAACAAATGAAAACAACATTCTCTAGCCATTTCCTTTCACTTTACTGATCAACCAAACAAGCATCAATCATAATCCAAAATACAAAAAGTAAAATTGGGGAAATTCTGCATAAAATCTTCCTCCTCTGCCATTGATAAAAATGACTTATTGTAATTAGTGGAAAATGCAGCCTGCATGTTTACCGCCTTAAGGTGTGCATTATGTACTCAGCATAAAGGTCCCTGTACCAAAACATACAGGTCAACAACTTCATCAAACTTGGGAAATGGGAAATGACAGGTAAAGGAGATGCTTGAATGATATGTTTGGATGCAGAACTTTCATCTCTTTCTTAACGAACAAGAAACATTAGAGCTTGGACCACCATGGCTCAAAAACTTGTGGTTCCTTAAGATAGACTTACATTGAGTACTGGATAGCTTCAAGAGCAGCGGATGCAGGCAAAAAGGCGTTTACTGCAACCTCTTTGTTCTCATTCTTCTTGTCTATGCAATATGTTAAGAAAAAAATGGTACTGTTGTTCAAATAGTTCAAAAACCTGAAGTAATGCATTAAGTTACAAAGTAAGATTGTGAAGGATACAGTCTTCAAAGAAGCGACGGATCTCAGAAAGGCGATGAGGGGGAAGGTCATTGAGTTCAGTGTAGTGCGTATACTCTGGATCATCAGCGCAGACTGCAATAATCTTATCATCTTTCTCTCCCTGGATTAAAAGCATAAAATCCATGCTTGTTAAAGTTTAGGGACAAAAAATTCAATGCAAAGAAATGGGAGAGGTTCAAGTTGAGAGGTTCGGAAGAGTACCTGGTCAATCATGGGCATTACTCCAATGGCTCTGGCTCGCAGAAAACAACCAGGAAGGACAGGTTCCTGTTTAATTCATCAATTTAAGTCAATACTTAGGCTCAAGAATTTTGTCCCTTTGACATAATGTTCCAACTTCCATCACCACTCAATGGAATTTGGCTGACAGAACTTTCTTAAAATTAGATGGCTATGAAAATCTGGCAAATCACCTGCATGATAACTAAAACATCCAGTGGATCATTGTCTTCACACAAGGTGCGAGGGATGAAACCATAATTGTGAGGATACACGACTGACGAATACAAAATCCGATCAACCTGAGAATTTATTTAAAGCATTAAGAACAATCTTAATATCAAAGTTGAGAAGATATGCAGAAAGTAATTGTGGAGCTGTGAACTTGTTTCATACCTTAATCAGTCCTGTCTTCTTGTCAAGTTCATATTTGACTTTGCTTCCCTTGGTTATCTCAACAACCTAAACCAATCCAGCAAACAGTTCAATATGCAGTATTTTATTGACAAACTTTTATGAATTCCCTCTTCTCACTAATTTTGGCTTAATGCCAAGTTTATGCTCGTTACTTGATGAAGTTTGAGGGGATACATACAACGTTGAAAAGGTGGGGTGCAGTAGGTCCTGCAGACAGCGATTTTACAACATGATTAGTTTCTTCCAGGACAAGAAGATAGCAAAGTAACAAGTAGAGATTTATCATGGTCAAATCATATGTACCAATTTCAAGATCATGCCAAGGATGTGCAGCAACTGATCTCCTTGACAAAGATGAAAGAATCCTCTCATTTAACTTGGGAGCTCTTTGCGGTTTAGGTTCTTCGTTTCCTTCAGACATCTCTCTAACCACAGGCAGGTAAAAGGGTAAAAGGTAAAATGTCAAATGCAGCAAGCAGTAAATCAAACATGCAAACAACAAATAGGATACTGATCGAGAAACAATGAACACTTCAAAAAATAAGGAAAACTAAATTACCAATCTAAATATTGTAATTAAAAGAGAGATTATGCAGTGTGATTAGAGATTAACAGGTCAATTTAAATCTCTGTATCCAATCAAAGACACGTTTTTTAGATGAAAAATGTGTTGAACAAAAGTCCAAGCTTCATTCATTCATAATTTCGTTTCTTCCCAACAACCCATAAAAGACAAGATCGTGATTTACAAGATTAGGAAGCATAAACAGAAGACCTTAAAAAAAAAAAAAAGGGTTCTGATTATAATCATGGTATATGACAGAACAAAATACAGAATCAGTTGAAGCACAGAAACACACCTTCAGTGGCTGTTGCTGTTGGGGCTGCTGGGGTTTGATAAAGAAACTTGAAATTAAGAAAAGGGAAGATGGAATGAGCAAATGAGAAGTGAGAGCTATAAGGTTGGAGTGATTGGATGAATATAATAGTTATAGTAGGTGGGGAGGTAAAAGAGGAGAGAAAGGTGGGGTTGGTCAAAACTTTTGAGGCATTTTGCCTCGTGTCTGCCCATGAGGGAAGGTAGCTGCCCCCCTCACGTTGAACCTTCAAGTTTGTTGGTGATTATTATTATTATTATTTATTATTTATGTTATATATGAAAATTAAATTCATTAAGTCAAAACGAATCTCAGTATTTATCTAGCTAGTAGCATGAACATAACATGAGGATGTGACGCGGATTATAGCAATTCAGATTGGATCATTGGAAAGTTTCAAACGTAAAAATCCTCTTTTTAATTTTAATATTTGCACTACTTTTGGATTTCTATATACTTGTTTGCTGCCTATGTCTAGACTCTAGATCCACTGCTTTTTTAAGGTTCAGAAATCGAGCCCAACAGGCATTCTTTGGAAGGGGCTTGTCTTGCAAAGGAAATATTGGAACTTTGTTGTATATGGTTTAACACTTTGTGTCACTAGAGAGTCCAATACGTGGAGATGAACATGATTTTGGAGGTTATAGTTGTTGGGATTCTAAGATCACTACTTTTGATATCATTTTAAATTTTGTCGGTTAATCTTGCTATTGTGTCCAAGAGTTTGATGTATTTGCATTTTAGGGTGTGGGAATTAGGGTGGGTGGCCCGGCCACTAGTAATACCAAAAGAGATTGGACTTTTGCTCTATGAATGTCTTAGAGAGCCTATGCCAAGTGTTAAGAAGGAGAACTTAAAACAGCGTTATTCTTGTGATATAAAAGTTTTTCTCGTTAAGAAGGTCAATAATACATTATACACTGATATATTAACTAATTATACCAAATTTTGGACACCAATTGATGTTTTAATGTTTCATTTGTTGAGCTTTATTTATTCACAGCAAATAAGAACTTGTCACATTAGTTGGTGTCTGAAAACCGTATCTCTAGCATTATTGTTAAGATGTACATAGTGCTTGCAAATTTGTGCAAAAGTAGAAAAGGCAAGCATTGCATTTTGTATTTTGTAATCTTCAGCAACATCAATGCTTTATTTAGCTGGTAAATGCGATTTTGGCCCCTTTCTATGCATTGGATTGTCAATCTGTTAACCAGATAGTCAAGATATTGAGTCTACCTTTCTGTTTTCCAACTTGTGTCTTTGATTGCTTATAACTATCTGTTGGATTTTTGCTTTGTGGGTTAGTTTATTGTCAAAATCTAGACTCCTGAAAGTATGAGTCTACCAGAAATTTTAACAGCTTTCCATTAATAAGTCATCGATTTTAAATTGGATCTCGAAATTTTCCTTCTCTAAACTACAAAACACAAAAGGAGATAAGCAAATTGAGAAAAGGAAATTGATTATGATTGTTCTTATAAGCTGCAAACATTTGAACATGGTACTGCTTTGAGTTGTCTCTAAACCACATATAATGGAAAGTACAGAATCGTGATTATAATTTATAATACAATCAAATTTAAACATGTAATGTAACAAAAATTGTCTGGTCATTTTGATTAATCAACCGAACAAGGTCAATCATAATCCGAAACACGAAAACTGAAACTTGAAGTTTCATTGCCTCAAATCTTCATCTATCATTGATGAAATGACTTATTGTAATTGGTGGAATATTGTAGCCTGTGTGTGTTTATCGCCTTAGGGTGAGCATTATGTACTCTGCATAAAGGTCCCTGCACCAAGAAAATTACAAGTCAGGAGAGTAAAGCATGGTGTTTTTTTGGGCCTAATTGAATGATTTGTTTAGATACAAAAGTTGTATCTCTTTCTTGACTGTATATTTCCCCTTTGTAGAAAGTCTTACATAGAGTACTGGATGGCTTCAGCCGCATTGTGGGAAGGCAAAAACTGGTCAACTGCAACCTCTTTGTTCTCATTCTTCTTGTCTATGAAATATGTTAAGAAACCACTGTGCAGTTTTTCTCAAATTGTAACAACTCCCAAAGAACATTTAAACATCTATAAAGTAATGCATTAAGTTTCAAAGCAAGACTGTAAAGGATACAGTCTTCAAAGAAGCGACGAATCTCACAAAGGCGATGAGGGGGAAGCTCTTTGATGTCAGTGTAGTGATTATAAGCTGGATCATCGGCACAGACTGCAATGATCTTGTCATCTTTCTCTCCCTGGATGAATCCATCAAAGTCAGTGCTCAAAATTCAATAAAAAGTAGCAGTTGAGTTTCAATTTGCTAGAGAGCTGTGGAAGAGAACCTGGTCAATCATAGGCATTAGTCCAATGGCTTTGGCTCGCAGAAAACAACCCGGATGAACAGGTTCCTATTTAAGTTCAAAGATACAAATTAATGCCTATGAAATTCAATATTTGTACTCAAGATTTTGTGAAAAATATATGCATTCAAGCATTTTGTCTGTTTGGCAATCTGTTCCAATTTCCATCGCCGGTCGAAGGAATTTGGTTATCAAGAATTTGCAGAACAGATGAATATTACAATCTAAAAACTCACCTGCATGAGAACTAACACATCCAGTGGATCATTGTCTTCACACAAGGTGCGAGGGATGAAACCATAGTTATGAGGATAGACCACTGACGAGTACAAAATCCGATCAACCTGAGAATTTACTTAAATATTAAGAACAACAATCTTAACATACATATATATATATATATATATATAACCTTGTTTTTTCATACCTTAATTAGTCCTGTCTTCTTGTCAAGTTCATATTTGACCTTGCTTCCCTTTGTTATCTCAACAACCTGAACCAACCCAAAAAACAATTCAATTTGTAGCATTGTTTTGCCTCAATAGCAATTTATGCTAGTGACTTGATAAGTTGGAGAGGATACATACACAATTGAAAATATAGGGAGCTTTAGGTCCTGTAGACAAGAATTTGCAGCATGATTAGTTTCTTCCTGTTTAAATGGTACCAAGGCACCAGGGAAAAGAAAAAGAAGAAGATAAAAGCAAAGAAGATGTTGCAGGGATATATCATGGTAAAATTATAAGTACCAATTTCAAGATCATGCCACGGATGTGCAGCAACTGATTTCCTCGACAGAGATGAAAGAATCCTCTCATTTAACTTGGGAGCTTTTTGGCGTGGGACTGGTTGAACTTCACTTTCTTCATCAGCCATCTAACCGTAGGCAGGCAAAAGGTAAAATGTAAAATGTCACATGCAAACAACAACTAGGATATTTATCTTCTTTGCTCTGTCCATGTTTAGCAATATGTAAATAGAAAATTTTGACCGTACATCAATAAATCATGGTCTAGGATTATCCATTACCATTCTAGATATGGTAGCTGAAGGAGAGGTGACGAAGATGTAGGCATCAAGATTACTAGAAGATTTGAGGTAAATCAACATGTGCAGCCCCTCATAATTTTACATTTTCGTACAAAATTCCAGCTTATAAGATAGCTACTTAGCTAGTTTAGTTATGTTCATTGTCGTTCAAAAGGTGTTTAACAATTATTGGACTTCGAAAGCTTAATTGGTAATGAATAGACTAACAATGCATATCGAGCTAACACCCTTTCTCACGTGCAACCTCATCCTAAAGATGCAAAGGCGAAGAAAGATCGGAGATTTCGAACCCAAGACAACGTCTTCGGTTTACAAAGATTGACATTAAAAAAAAAAAAAAAAAAAGGATCTATGAGATTAAATAACATGAACCCCCAAAAAAAAGTGTGATAGTGATTGTATGGTATAATAAAGAATAGGTTGAAGCATACGCACCTTAAGAGTGGTTAGGGGGTTGAGATAGAAACTTGTAAGAAAGAAGATAGTTGAGCAAATAAGTGTTAAGATTAGAGTCTTTGGATGATATTCATATTTATAGTATGTCTATCTGAGAGAGAAGGTAGCTGCAGACCCTACCTGTTAGGCTGAACCTTGGAAGTTAGTTAATTTTTCATGTTAGTTATAGGACATTCTAGCTTTATTTTCTCAGATTCATGGTGATGGTGTTGCATGCTACTTACTAGTTTCTGCTTCTTGAGGGTAACCATGAGGCCATATATAAGATTGCTCTGGTTTTCAGCCAATGGGCAATGCAATGAAATTTGAACTGCTAAATAAATTCAGAGTTTTAATTTTGTTTTTAAAAAAATATAATAAAATCATCCCATTGTCCAGAACTGGTGGATTAACAATTCCTATTGGATCATTGGACGATCTCCCCAATTAATTATGATAATATAATAATTAATACCACTTTTGTATACTGTTTACGTTCGATTTCTATGAATTAGCATGTCCAAATCCACTGCTTCTTAGACTCAGAAAGCGAGCCCACCACCAGTGTCCTTTAGAGACATTTGTCTTGCAAAAGTAATATTTATATAAAGTCATAATTCTGTTTTTCTGTTATAAAAGGAAATATTTATATGTAATCTTTTTTTTCTTATTTCACAAATTTAAGGACTGATCAAGGCCTCTGGCAGAAAGGTAGATAGAGACACCACTGAAAGAGAGTAAGTTTTGATTAGGGTAGACTTTCTTCAACTCTGTATATTCATTAAATGATGAGACTTTCTGTTGATGCACATAGGCATGCAGGCAGGCAGGTATATTATATATGCAATGCAAAGTTTTGAAGTTTTGATCTATTTTGATTCACTTCAGCTGATGTACAACACATAGAAGTAACAAGAGTGCATGTAAAACTTCCATGGAAAGTGAAAATGAACAGCCAAATTTGTTGAGCAGCAGTTTCGAGGACTGATCTGAACAAATTCAAGGCACATATGTTGAATCAGGAGACATGGATATCATCTGAAGTAGGCTGGAGTTCGAAAATGTTTCCTCTAGTGCAGGCCCCCTCTTGCTACCTCCATCACTGCTGTCTCTTCTAATATGTACTAGTTCCCTGGCAACATCATACATTCCCAGCTTTCCATCTCCACCAAACAACAGGCACCTCATGGCAAGGTCTGCAACAATCTCTATCTGCTCACGCCTATATGAAGGTTGCTCGTGATAGTAAAGATGTGGATCCACTATCTCTTCTAGCTTGCCACTCCTTATCTTTTGCAGGGCTAATGTAGGCAAGTCCAAGCAATTTGAGCCTGCAATAATCTCAAGAAGCATGACACCAAAAGCATACACATCGTTTTTGTGAAAACGCGAATCTTCATGGTTGTGTGACTGAGAACCATCTCCAAGACTTGAAATCAGTAGCCCAAACCCAGCAACTTTACTGGAAAAGTTTTCATCAATGAAAATGTAAGCAGATTTGAGGTCACAGTGGAAAATGGGAGGAGAAATCTCATACTGCAAAAAGGCAAGAACACTAGCTGTTTCAGCAGCAATGCTCAGCCTCTTGTACCAGTCAAGAGCAACATTTTGTCCTCCTCTCTGATGTAAATGTTCCTTGAGGGTACTGTTTGCAGGATATTCGTATACTAGTAGTGGAGTGTAGGCCAAGTCAATACAGCATCCAAGTAATCGGGCTATATTCCGGTGTAGAACAGCAGATAAAACCTCGATTTGTGATAGGACTTGAATAAGGTCTTTTTCATTCTCACATTCTACCTTGTGCACAGCAATGTGCGATCCATCCCCTAGAACCCCAGCAAAGATAGTGCCATTATTTCCACTTAAAAGTTTCTGACCCTCTTCGAATCCTTTGGTAGCTTCCTCTAGCTCATGGTAAGTGAATAGCCGGGTCCTACAAGCTTTCCGGAATGATATGGTGCTTTGAAAGTGGGGTTTCTGAGCAGGATCAAATGTCCCCGGTTTAGCAGGACGCTTTAGTAGACACAACAGTGCAATCAAGGAGGCTACGATGAAAACTGGAGCAAGAACTCCTGCAGTTCAAGATGTCAAGATATTATACTCAAAGGGAATGATGAGACAAATTTAGGGAAATTTATGATTGATTATGTCATAATTCATTTCTTCAAAGAGAGGAGTTGATACGATTGAAAATACTTTTTTTTAACTGCTAGATTAAGTAGCCAAACAACAATGCATAGGAAGATTTAATGCAGACATGGGTTTATTTTGCTTATTTTGTTGTCACTTACCAGCTAAAATTACAAGTTTTTTCCCACCACGCTTTTTCTTCAAGCAATCATTCCCATATGCTTCCTTTCTGTCCTTGATGCAGGCTGTCAAAGGCATTCCAAATATAAATGATGCCGCCGTAAATATATTGGCGGCTTGGAGTTTTCAGCCACACCAACAATGTGAAAAGAAAAATTAAACAAAACAATTATTCTGAAGGCATACAATTGATTAAAGAATATCAAACTGCTTTATCTTTACAAAGATTACAAATCACACATAGGCTTTTTTAGGATGATCTAAAGAAATGCAGAAAGCAAGAGTCTCAACCTTTGCTTGTGATACATAGGATCTTTTATGAAATAAATCTGCAGAAAGAAAGATATATGAAACTTTTCTTTAAATAAGTTATAGTTACCTCCATCATCACGATGACAATCATGTCATACACAGAACTAACATAAGATAATCATATGCACTAATTAAGTACAATGCACCAATAATGACTCAATAAGCTATGTATTACAGAGTAATTCAATCTGATAGATTGTCAGAATTTGTTTCTTAAAGTCAGAAGTGGAAAGTTCAAGCCCACATGACATCAATCGTCTATGGTAACTATAACCTAACAGGCAGATATAATCATGCCCAAAATGAAGCTACCATACAAACTTGATGAGAAAAGCTTGATGATTTATAAAATGTCCTAATAAATACTCACATTTGATGCATCCTTCCCCAGTTGCAAAGCCATCTCCAAGGAAACCATCTTCACAGATGCACCTCACCCCTGCTTCAACCACTGTGGCATTGGTAATGTAAGCATTGCTAGCACAAACTCCCTTGGATGAGTTCTTTGGTACTGCCCATTCCAATTTTACCCCTCGTTTTCCCAAGTTGGACCCTCTTTGAACAACCCAACTGGAAAATCCTCTGCATCCAAACTTGGAAAACACCGAAAACTTTTCGCCGAAATGCCACACACTATGATCAGAGAGAGGGTAACAGCAAGCAGGAGAACCATTCACATTGCCGTCACAACCAGGCAAATCATTTGTTTCACATTCTGTCTTGCACAGAGAAGAGTCCTCACAATCATACAAACCAATTACATTCTCAACTGAGACACCAAAGTGGTCATTTCCCAAGAAATCAAAGGAGTTCAAGTCATTGTACTGACGGCAAGAAGATGAGCCCGGAAAGTCCACTAGTAGACCATCAGAGAAGAATTCTAGCACCCGGTAGCTTTCGGAACCAATGTTGAGGAAAAGGGCAGTTGAGTTTAGGCATGAGAGATGGAAAGCATCAGAGACTGAACTACAAGACTTGTTCAAGTGAAATGGAAATGGTAGTTGAAGTTGTCCACATTTTTCATGGCACAGCTGGTTGTGAAGCAAATTGGGTTGTTCTAGTTTCTGGAGTTCATGGAGGGAATGAGAAATTGATAAGAAATTAAAGAGTCCAAGGAGGAGAAAGGAAGCCAGATACAGAGGTAACATGGCCAGTACTGAAAGTGCTGACCAGTGTAGAGAATATTTGGAAGGAAAAAGATATACTAAAGGAAGAAGAAGACTGAAGGCTTGATGAGACTGTACCTAGTAAATAGCCATTTGGTTGCAATGCTTATATGTTAGTGGCAGTTGAATAATGAGAGAGTTTTGATAGTGTAAACTCATACATATACATTCAATACAAACTGAAACTCATGTTCTGCCATATCAAACAACCACGTGACAATGATGAGTGGCAGAGTAGTTCAATTAAAAGATGGTGCTTATTAGATTGTCTTACCACTCGGCACTGTCATGTGACAGAAACAACATGTAGAAGTTGTTCTCGTCTCGAGAGGGCCCACGGAGACTAAGGGCTAGGTGATGACTTGGCAAGATGAGGAATGTAAGGGGGGGTTTGAGGGTAGTATAGCTTAGGAGTTTGAAAAAGAGGAGACGATTTATGGTCTGTGGAATGGGCTACAGTTCGTACTGTATCTTCATATGGAATGCTGTGCATTCTGTGAGCGTGGCCAAAGTGTGAGCTTTCCGATTCACTTCAAGGGCCTATATAAAAAATAAATAAAAGATTTGAAGATATTTATATAATATTTGCATGGGCTTCGAGATTTTGGTATTATAATGGCATTAACGTACAATTAAGTATGTAGTTTGAGAATTACGGAATGTCAGATCCACACAATACAATATCATTATAAAATTAATATTATCTTAATGCAAAATTAATAGAAATTAATATTATCTTTGCTCTTAAAAAGAGGCTAAATTATGTATCTGCTGCTATATACTATGCAACCAAGTTGTGATCTCAAGCCCCAATGCCACGCTTGGTGGGTTTTCATAGCCGCGTTTCTTGCAACAAGGCTGTGACATCTGTGCAAGCTCACAGTTGAGTTGAGTTCACTCTCTCAGCCAAACTTTTGAAATTTTGGTCAAAAATGAGAAAATAATTTTTTGGGTTTAGCATTCTTTCTTGGTACTCATGTTCATGTTGTGAGTTGAGTTGTGACCTAACTCTTTGTGTTGGGATGACAAAATTTGGGTTGGGGGTACGTGGCTCAATCTTGTGTGTGTTCTCCAGCTCAAATGTGTTTAGGCTGAGCAAAGAAACCAAGTTGGGGGCTGCTAGAATAAGTGTACTTAGTTTATATTGTAAAGTGTAGAGGTCTTTGTTGCCTCATAATTAATCCCCTAAAACCTCAAAAACACTTAAAAAAAATCAGTTTGGAGAAAAAAGAAATTCATGAACTCAATTGTTATTGCACTTAATCACTGTAATAACGGTTGATAAGTAAGGGATAATTTTCTTGTCGATGACGGAATAGACTTGTATGGAGGTTAGGATGTCATGGCAATCTCAGGCCTATACCTAGCTCTGTCGATGTTTCTTACTAACATTAACAATTGTAGGGGGACCACACTAACTAATTAACAAATCAAATAAAATTTCCCTTAAGCTGGCAAAGAGATCAATCACCAAAGATTAGTAACATTAAATCGTAACATTAGTGTATCATATAGCCATGAATGGTTATCAACTCATCCATTGTTATGTAGCTTCGACCTTTTTGGGTCCTACTACAATCCATTTGGACATGAACAATCCCATGGTTAATAAACTTCTTCAATTTGGGCTTGGTAAGTGACCCTGCCTAGCCCAACCTCTTCAAATGGTCTCAAAAATCCCTAATGGTTTCAAATTTGTCATCCTAGCCTTTGTTTTCACATAAAAATACAACTTTTATACATTGTATAATAAAACATCCCATTGTTGGCTAGGTAAATTGTTCTCCTTTCTTTTCTTCTTAATTTTTTTTTTCAATTTATGCTCATTAATTTTTATTTATTTTTTGGTTCTATGCTCATTAATTTTCAACAACCATCTTGTGGGTTTTTCTCTCTTTTAGTTATGTAAATTGAATTGCATTGTTCCAAAACAAAATCCACTACAACATTCAGGTCTCCTGGGAATCCAAAACTTGATGTTCCTTTCCTTGCAGGTCTAATCTTATGAGATCTTGATCTGGACCAGGACACATGTGGGCCTCTGAATTTGTATATTCTAGGATATGGGCAAGTGCACTGAGCTCACACCAATACGCAAGAAAGTTAAAATCAAACCTGTTTTAGCATTTTGTATTCATATGACCAGAGGGATTTCCAATCTGGGCCAGGGTCCCAATCACATAGGAATTAGGGCTGGACTAGGATTGAAAATTTGGTCATGGTTGGTTTCTAGCCAAAATAGCTACTTAATTTTTGAATAATTTAAATTTCTTGAAATTATTTAGCTCTGAATGAGGTAAAATCTCAAAACAAATACAATTGGAACCCAAAGCAAATACAATTAGAAACATAAACAGAGCATTTACGGTTTACCACAGTAAGCAAACTTCAAAACCTCTGCTGATATTAAAGCCATCCACTCAGCACTCAGCACTCAGCATCTGTGTGTGTGTGTGTGTGTCTCTCTCTCTCTCTCTCTCTCTCTCTCTCTCTGTGTTGTGCTGTGCTTGAAGCGCTCATTGACAATCGGCGTCGTTTTTCCACGCAAAAAGTAAATAAAGTCTCTCTCTTCCTTCGGTTTTGGTTTTTGGTTCCAAAAATTCCAATATGACCATTGTTCCCTTTATCCTCTTAAATACAACAAAACCTCCACTCCCACTTCCGCAACAACCTGCATCATCATCGTCGTCATCATCAGCATCCATCTGCACCGTTCTCATATCAAGTTCATAGCTTTACTCAAAACCCACAATTGAAATTGAAATTTTGACAATGATCTTCTTCTACAGCAAGCGTTAGACAGACTCTGTAGACTGTACGGCACACATGGATTTTCGGGACCCAAACCCGAATCAGTCTCGCCTTATCGGAGACTACATACTGGGCCCAAAAGTCGGGTCGGGTTCATTCGCGGTGGTTTGGCGCTCAAGGCATCGCCAACTGGGTATTGAAGTTGCTGTTAAAGAAATTGACAAGAAACAGCTGAGCCCAAAAGTCAGCGACAGTTTACTCAAAGAAATTTCCATTCTAAGCACCATCAACCACCCCAACATCATTCGCCTTTTCGAGGCCATCCAGGTACCTTTTTTATTTTTAATTTTTCGAGGAGGTTTTTTTTTCGTTCTTAGTGTTATATATATATATATATATATATTTATTTATTTATTTATATCTGTGTGTAATGTCGGTGACGGTGGTTGGGGTTCTTTTGTAGACCCAGGACAAAATTTACCTTGTGTTGGAGTACTGTGACGGCGGTGACCTGGCTGCTTATATTCATCGACATGGGAAAGTTTCGGAAAATGTTGCCAAGCACTTTATGAGACAATTGGGTATTTTTTTTTTTCCCTCTGCTCAACTGTACTTTTAATTTGAGTTTTTATTCAAATTCATCTTTTTTTAGATGATTGGGTTTGTGCTCAATGACTTTTGGATTAAATTCCGGTTCGTTAATTGGAAATTTTTTATAGACTTTTTAAATGGTTGGCCAGTTTGGTATCTGTTCTTTCTTAGAAATAATCTTTGGATGATTGGATTTTCATTTATGATTAGGCTAATGGGAATGTTCTTAAATGTGATTGTTTGCCTTTTCTGTTCTGTTTTTGGCCTCTGTTTCTTCTGATAAGTAGATACTAATGGACTTTAACGTGTTTAATTTGGATTTCCCTGAGCAGCTGCAGGATTGCAAGTGCTTCAAGAAAAGCACCTCATTCATAGGGATTTAAAACCACAGGTACTGTGTTTTCATGATGAACCAGAATTTTATATGTTCTCCATAAAGTCAACTGTAGGTGAGCTAATCCTGAGGGCGTTTATCATAGGCACATTAATCAGCATAACTTGCAAAATTGTCTGGGAATTATGCTTTTTTGTTTGGTCACAAGTCGTGACTCGCTAGAAGTTTGATATGTTAATGACGTTTGATATATTGTCGATTACTGTCTTTCTTCAGAAGATTTATATACATATATAGATATAGATATATTGTCAATTACTGTTGACAAATTTGGCGTTATATTGTCGATTACTTTCGACAAATTTGGCGGTTATTCTGCTTGGTTAGTGACTTACTTGTCGATTTCTGGTAAAACTTGCAGAACTTACTCTTGTCAACAACCATTGAAGAAACCCCACTACTGAAGATAGGGGATTTTGGTTTTGCGAGGTAAAAGTTTAATAATCTTTTTGCATTGGCATTTTCCATATTGATTGTGAACTTAATGCTGCAACTGAAGTAAAAAGTCTGCCGTCTGTATAGTAAATGGTGTACTTATTTAGTTTACTGGTGTTTTTATGAGGTCTTGCTATGACAACTGTTTCATAATGGAGTGGTCCATAACTAACATATTCAACCAATGCCAGTACAGCATTATCCCACTTATTTGGCTTGCCGAGAAGAACCCAATAAAAGTTTTCTTGTGTCATTTCCTTTTACATTGGTAGTGTGATGCTTAGCCAGAAGCTCATTCTATTGTTTGACCTTCAACTTGACCATGTGATAAGAATTTTTTTTTTTGTTGAACATCAGCCTCTGAGTTCTCTTTGTTATTCAAACCTTTCGTTCATAACATGTGGTTTATGAAAGTAACATCTACTACTGAGAGATGCAGATATCTTACTGTAACTTGTGAGAAATTTGAGACGGCATGAACTGTTTGGATGTTTATGTAGAGAAGTTTATTAAAATTATGCAAATCCTATCTAAAGCAAAAATTCGATTTGCTAAAAATTATCTGAAGCAGTTGAGTTCACAGGAAGAGTTTAAAAGCTTTGGTCACTTCTTTCTAGCAATAATTGAAAGTAAATTATTGGTGAGAAGTATTTCTAAATATGTTTTGCACTTGGGCATTGCCTGGATGCATCTGTCTGCCAGATCCCTCACGCCCCAAGACTTGGCTGACACACTATGTGGTTCACCATTATACATGGCTCCAGAGATTATTCAGAATCAAAAGTATGATGCAAAGGTGATAGAATGTGAAAGTGACATTATTGACAAACTTGTAAGTATCTTTGCCATTTTTGTTGTCATCTTTAATTTAACATTATGGTCTTTGCAGGCTGATTTATGGAGTGTTGGAGCAATTTTGTTTCAGCTGGTGACTGGGAAGCCGCCATTTGATGGGAATTGTCAATTACAGGTCAGTGGAAATCTTAACTTTTTTTTTTCTCAGTTGTAAAGATTTAGAATTTTCCTAACTTTTTCTTCCCAAATAAGGACTAGTAGTGTGAAATATTTGAAAGGATTATCTTGTGTCTTTTAATGATTTTTGCTATATACAGCTTTTTCAAAATATTCTGACATCTACTGGGGTGCGGTTTCCACAAGGTGCTTTGGAAGAATTGCATGCAGATTGTGTAGATCTTTGCAGAAGCCTGTTACGTCAAAATCCAGGTCATGATTGCTATATTAAGGTGTCTCTGGTGTTATGCTTGTGTGTGTTTAAAATTTACAATCACAGCTCAAGAGTGAGAATTTACTCATATTGTCATGTGAATATCAAGAATTTAGTTTACCCTTCCACAAAACTACAATGTAAAAGTCAAAACTTGAATTTGCAGTTGAGAGACTATCATTTACGGAGTTCTTCAATCACAAGTTTCTTAGAGAAGCTAGGTAAAGCATTCCACAGCCTTCAAACTGTGTTATTCATTGATTATGTACATTTGACATTATGTACAATTTGGGTATATGTTAAGTATGATATGATATGTACTTATATACTCATATATATATATATGCAGTCAAACTGAATCAGCTCCTCAGAATGTTGAACACACTTCACTACTTCCACCGCTTAAATCGATGGTTGAACAGTCTAATTCCTCTGTCTCCGATAAGAGGTTGCAATTGAATTCCAAGCATTCCATAAACTCATCTAGCAAAAATCTGAGTTCAGATTTTCCATCTGCACATGACAGAAAAAAGTTACAAAGAAAAGATTGTGGCAGTACATCCAGCACTAGGAGTGTTCAAGGGCTTGTGCAAGATGTTGCATGTGATAGGCTGAGGAAATCTATTAATCAAGATCCAAACATACAGGATCACCTTCGAGGTTTGTATTTCAATTTGTAATTCCTTTGAATGCTTGTGCTTTGTTTCAACTATTTATTTTGGTTTGCCTCTCCAGTTTCTGATTCAATGGAGTCCATTGAGAAAGATTATGTTATGGTCAATCCTCATTTTGCGTCAATGGAGAGTTTCTCTTATTACCTTGAAACATCCCTGCAACTTAATTCCACTACGAGAGCTTCTATCAGTGGTTCAAAGCAGAATGATCATGATATATCAGTTGCAAAGAAAACAGAGGAGCAGGCAACTAGTTCTATTGGTGTGGAAAGTTCACAAACTTGTGGATCCGCTAAATCACCAACATCTTGTGGATCAACCCTGTTACTGGAAGTGCAAGGACTATCTATACTGCATCCTTCTACTAGGCTCCATCTGTTACATCAGTACGCTCAGGTTCTTGCAGATCTGTCTCAGGAAAAGGTGCATCACTCAGTTCTCCTGCACCAAACATAATTTACTTAGTTCAATATCATGATGTTTTATTGTGTTCTAAAAAAAATATCATGATGTTTTATTTACAGTAGTGTACTTTCATTTTTCTTTTGTTTGTACAGAACTCCCTCTCTCTCTCTCTCTCTCTCTCTCTCTCTCTCTCACACACACACACACACACACACACGCGCGCGCGCACAAACATACGCACATGAGTGCACACAGAATCCTCACAAGGAGTCACTTAATTATATTAGCATGATTAGACAACGGCTCTTGACTTTTTTCTGGAATTTATCAAGGTAATTGTTACTTTTGGTTGCAGGATAAGGCAGGACTGTTTCTAGACTCATTTTCAGTTCAACTGGTTGTTTTGGCCATATGGAAGAAAGCTCTTCAAATTTGCAGCACTTGGAGTGAAGTGAAGGAACTACCCGAAGGCAGTTCAGCGAATGAATCCTCACGTGTGCAGGGAGGTGCTGGTTTGTCACCAAACGCCTCAGGAAGTGTAGATTTTAGCAGGCCTTCATCTGTTTCAATGTGGGCAGGGCAAGGTTTTATTGGTGCCTTTGATCGGGCAGAGAAGTTATCCTATCGTATCCAAGATATGGATGGTTAGGCTGTCAAGAAACTATCTGTGATAATGCTTTCTAGTTTTCCATTTGAACTTTTGCTCCTTAATGTGTGATATATATTGCAGGTGCTGCTGAAGTGCCAGACGCGATGGAAATTATTTTCCAAAAAGCACTAGTAGTTGGAACAGATGGTGCTGTAAGTAAACTTCCTTGTGTGCTTCCATCTTTTTTTCCTTTTTTTTTTTCATGTTACATCTGTAATCTTGTTTGCAGATTACAAAATCTCTGACCAAATAAATTTTGCCTGTGTTCCAGGTAGACGAGTACATGGAGAACAAGGGTAGTGCAGAAGCATTGTACTCGAAGGCTATGCTTCTGCTTTCTTTTATTGCGGGAGAAGCAACATCCCTGCCACTTAACCCACCATTTTCGTTGACTCCTGCCAATAAGAAGCGAATCCAACAGTACATTGTAAACTTGGAGTCCCGTCGTATCAACTTTCTCAAGTCGCAGCCTGCTCCTGTGCAATCTCCACACTCCCGGACTAAGTAAATATGACCCTCCGTGTACAGCCATTGACAAAACCGGCTTTTTTGTGTGCATATTACGGGTATGGGGTAAATCACGGCAAGATCAGCAAGCAGTTTTGAACTTTGGGGGGATGATAATGAGACATCACTTTATTTACATGAGTGATGATGATTAGCATTGACATATATTATATACATATATATATATATATATATATATATCAGCTAAATAGGAACGTATATAATATAGCCTGCAGGCACTGTGGACACAAGATCACCCTTATTGCATGAATTCCTGTAAATAAATTTCTCCATTCTTTATATGGGAAAAACTGTAAATATGGATGGTGATGGTGGTCAGTAAATGCCGAATTTCACGTTTATTACTTTTTTTTTTTATCTTTTCTTTTTTTTATCTTTTTGTTTACAATGGGAGTTTAACTTAAAATATTTTTCTCCATGTAACTTGAGTAAGGCTCATAATAACCGAGGGGAGCTGAAGCCCCACAAACAAGAAGAAAATAATAATTAGGCTTCGAAAAGAAAAAAGAAGAAGAGAGATTTAGTCATATGCTCATTCTTAGCATTAAAAAATGAACAAATCCAAAGAATGATAGTCGGACTTATTGAATTTAATTTTGATTATTAAATTACTTTGATGTCCTATTGAGTGTTTGAAACTTTTTTATGAGATTTTGGAGTTGAGTTTGTTTTAAGAAATCAATATTAGTTTTGTAATTTAAAATAAGTTAAAAAAACATTTTTGTTATGTTGTAAATGAGTTTTGAGTGTATTTCTAAAGTCCATTTCATATATGGATTTTTTATAATTTAGGCTCCTATATTGGGTATAACAGTGAATTTCCCATAAAAAGATCATGCATGCAAAAGCTTCTAATCACATCACAAAATGTGTCATAAGTTGAACTAGCAAGAACAACAGGGGTTTCTGTGCAACCTGCAGGTTCTTCTAGAGTAAAATCGTTAGACAAGAGTCCAAGGAAACTGGGCATATCAAGTCCCATCAAATACTTAAAATGTTTCTTAGCTAAAGTCTAATTAAGGAAATCTTTCAAGCGCAGTTCCAAGGGTTCAAGATAGTTAATCAGCAAATGTAGATTATATATGGTACACACCAAGGCAAGTTTCTGATCTGCTGGACTTGAAATGAAACACAAAAGAACAATATATAAATAAAGGGGAAATAGATTAGATTGCATGCAACAACAAAGGTTTCCTTTGATTTGCAATGCAATGCCAAATGTCAATTTTGAGCTTCCCCTTCCAAGCGTAACCTCTTGGGACCTTTCTCTTCACAGTGGCTGATGGAATTGGCTGCCCTGTTCTCGTTGGCCTCTACCGAGCACCTTTTGTAAGGCTTGAATCCTGTTCGACGAGCCTTAAGTTTTCCCTGGCTAAGTCCTATTGTCAGCAGCCCCTCTGCATTGTTGTCTCCTACGGGTGACACATTTTTCTCCACTTCCGGGTGGCACGAAAATGGCACCCATGTCTTTTTGTTTAGGTCTAATAGCGATGCATCTTCACCTTTGTCCTCAACATTCTGCTTTCCTTCTTTTGTAGTGGTCTGATGCTCTTTGTCCTTGGGGGGAGGTGAAAAACTTTGGGGCAATACCTCCCTCGAGAATAGTGCTTGAAAGGCCATACGCCCCTAACAAAGGTAGTTAACATGATCAGATAACAATTCATTCCAAAAACAGATTTATCAAAATCAATCCCTATGTTGGGCTACCTCTTCGGAAACCTCCTTCCATGGATCACTAATGTTGATGATACTTCGACTGCGACGATAAGTAGAGTCGGAAGCTGGGTGATTTAGATCAGGTTCTTTCAGTTCTTCCTTCCCCTTCTCTTGCTTCTCTAATGCATCTGTCTCTACTTCGCTGCTGGAAGGTGTGTTGGAACCACACGAAGAACGGTCAACCTGTTTTTTTTTTTTTTTAAATAAATAAGAAACAAGATTTTATTGAAAATGGAAGAAAAGTACAAAGTGATGAAAGCAGGACTAGTAGTCCATCCTATGCGGACTGAACAATATCAAAGAAAACCTGTTTTCTGCTCTTTGCATTGTTTGAATCATTAACTTCTTCGGTTGATGCTACCACCTTCTCATCAGCAGCAGCTTTAAGTACAATATTAGGTTCTGCACCTCCGTTATCAGAGTGTGATGATGACACACTTGGTGATTTTGAAGCTGGATCTTGAGCTTCCACAGCTTCCAAGTGTTCTGGGTCCACTTGTTGATCCTGCAAAGAAGGAATTTGAAGAGAATTCTCTCCTCTCTCTATATTGGCTGCAGGAGCTTCACCAATATCCATTGATGGAACCCCAGTCATGGACTCAGGAGGACAGCTAAAAGCAGTTTGAACAGGAGCGCACAAGGGAAGCAATCCATGGGATGCCCACCATGCAGATGCAGCAGCTACGGTGGCAGCAGCAATTGCTGCCATACTTGGAGGGGAGTTCATTTGCCTAGATAGAAAACCTCCCGGGGGGCATGCCGGAGAATCTTCTGTATTTTCTGCATTTGCACAAGGCCAAAATGTGGCTGCAAAGCTAGCTGCAGCATGGGCTGCAGGGTTTTGTAACAGAGAAGACACAATAAGACTTGAAAATGTGGAGGACATGTGCAGAAATGACTGGTAATCCTTTTGACCATGGTGTAATGGGGTGAAGGGAGGGTGAAAAGCTGGAAATGATTGGTGAACAGAAGATCTTGATGCATTACTTTCATGTTCAGTAGTAGTAGATGCAGTTGGATTTGCAAAAAGGTTAGGCTGTCCATGAACCCTGCCCATAGGATGAAAAGCAGTATCCGCGAATGACATATCTGCTGGAGTAATTTGATTACATGCTCCTAGGCTCCCATCCAGTACGTGTACAGGAACATTCCTCGGGTAGGTCTGAGTTCCTTGCATCCCATCTGTTGGCAATGCACAATTCAAATAATCTGCTTTCTCACCTTGAACCAACTTCTTATGAAAAGCATTAGTGTTCTCTGACTCTGAGGCTCCACTTGTACCATTATCTTGAACTATCTTTTTGGCATCATTTTTCTTCAAATTCTGATTTCCATTAAGTTCAGTAGTGACATAAGAATCATTTGTTACATCTTGACTTATTACCTCTTTCAGGGAAGGCACAAACTCCCTAAAAGTGCGAGCATTTCTTAGTGCCACCTGTGTGGGTATGGAATTTTTGTTTGCAGAAGAAACAGAGGAACAATGATCTTCTAGAAGCATAGTTAAGACTTCTGAGCAGTTTTCATCCTGATTTTCTTTTCCATTTCTTGGATTTTCTTCTTTGATAGGTCTCTGATAAAGAAGTCACAGGTTAAGTACTATTACAGGAATCGCAAGAACATGAAATGTGAAAAATATATAATAAAAATAATAACCTCATCAAGTGGTTCTTTCTCCAAGTCCACTACTTGTTTACAATGCGAAGATGATGTTGATGATAAAAGTTTTCCATCCTTTGCTGCCACATGCGATGTGGCCCATGTAGAAGCAGCTGAACAAGACTTTCGAGGATAAGGATTGCTTGGTTTCCTTTTGGGGCGTGGAGGCGGAATATCTATGTCAATTGATTGTCCTGCCGGAACACCTTTATCGTGTGCCTCCTTCTCCAGCTGGAAGCAAAACCTTCTTTGTCAGAATTCATATTTGAAGTTAAATACAAGTTTTATTGGGCACCAAATGCAGTGGTCAGATGCCAAAAGAATTGAGTGAAATGTCTCAAATAGTCTGATGAATTTGGAAGATCTCAAGCATCGTTAATTGAACCTATATGAAATGAGGACCTAAAAAACAGTGCAGAATTTGTGTAGAGAAACCAGTGCATATCAATGTAATGTGCTGTTTGAGACATCTGTACTCTAGGAGGGAAAGGAGAAAGAAAAGGATAATCACCTCATGGTATGGTCTAGTAGTGTTGATATGAAGAGGATGGTGGTTGGAAACTGAAAATTGTTTCGAACTTTCCATGACTGAGCCACTAAAAAGGTATTACACTGGAAACTCATGCATAAGTGCAAAAGCTTTTCGCTCTGAAGTTCCAAGCAAGACCATTATGGAACCACACCATTGTAACGTAAAAAGAATGATGTCTATTGATCCCCTCAAGAACTTGTGCAAAGTTAGCCTCACTCTATGTTGCCAATGAGAGATTCCAATAAGGACCATCAATCATCGGCAGAACTCGATGGCATATTAATTCATTGGGACTAACCTATCTAAGACAACATCTAACATGGTCCACCTGAATATACTGTTGTATATGACCTTTTCTTTTCTTTATATTTTCTATAATAAGTAAACCAAACAAATAGCGACTTAAGATTCAGAGTACAGATAAAACATTACAACCAGTAAACCATATTTACTCTTTCAACCAGATTTGGGGTGGCTATGAAATCTAGTATAATGATGGTACTACAGTAAAGATTTTTCTATTTACGTCTGCTGCCTTGACTCCAAATGCCTCAATCCCCGATAGAATTTTAAAATAAAATAAAATAAAAAGGAACAATAATTTTGCACCAGTAGAAACTAGTGGAATCCAGTTATTTTCACCCTCCACACAATAAAGTTCTTACTTACGGAGTTTTAGTTCTGTTGTATTAGCCACATGATATAAACAATGAGTGAAACCCATCAACCTCTGGTGGAGGCATGCTTCAGTTCCAAGCACTACAAAATGCCAACTTCATCACATATCTAGCTTTTAAGAGATAATTTGAGCTTTGAAATCAACTTAATACAAGAAATACATCCTTCTTTGGGTGCAAGTACTACAATCACCCATAATTTCTCACAAATTTATTCCTTCAGTATTTCAATATTTACTCTATTGCAATATCAATCCATTGTCTTTTGAAAGGAAGCAGCCAATAAGCGAACTCTATGTAACACTCTGAAAACCTTAAAAACCCAATTGCGATCAGCCATAATTTCTCACAAATTTATTCCTTCAGTTTTTCAATAAGCAAATCCTATGTATCACTCTGAAAACCTTAAAACCCCAACCTTGGCATGACACCATCTTTTCTCTATCAAATTTCAACCAGTTCCATTGCTCTTTCGTTATTAACAGCACCTGATAGCACCAAGTTCCACACTTTTCCTAGCCGTACCTAAACCAAAATTCTCTCTCCTATACAGTTATACCCATAAAATGCTCAAAATACCTATATGCTCCAGTCTGTAGCCTCCATTTCACCTTTAAACCCAACAGTAAAGTTTTCTTTCTTTCAAGCCTAAGAATATCCATTGAAGTCGAGCCACTATATGTCTTTAAATTTAAGCTACTCACTCAGAACTGCAGTTAGAGTGCAAAATCATGTGCCCTTCCATCCACACTAAT